TTATATGCACCTAATCAAGATGAAAAAAAAAAAAAATTGACTTAAATATTAAAATATTCACTAAAAATAAACGAAAATTCAAATAAAAATCTGTGTGCATTTTTGTTCGAGTTTTCTTTTTGTTTTTAGTCATTTTTTATTTTTCATAGTTTGATTAAATTCTTTTACTTTTTAGATGTATCTAATCTTAAAGTATCTAAAAAGTATAATAATAATAATAATAATAATAATAATAATAATAATAATTAATTAATTAATTAATTAATTAATTAAAATATTTTAAAATATTCAATAAAAACAAAATAATACGAAGTAAAAACTCAAGAAATTATTTTTAAAAAAAAACTCAAAATCAAACAAATTTGAAAACTAATCATATTTAACAACTTGTATTTTTAGAAAGAATATTAGAGTTTATAGAATTAGTCAAAACTATTTTCAATCCTTACTTTTTTAAAATTTCATCAAAATTTAAGTAATTATTTGATTGCTGCGAATTCAGTTAAAGACTTGATTTAACTTTAAGATGGAAAGAATTAATCTCTTCAAAATGAGCACGTTAGAGCATCTCCAACGCTACACTTCTTTTTTCATCAAATCTGTCGAAAAAAATGACGATTTTTTCAATTTGATACGAGGCGCTCCAACGGTGAGCATCAAAGCAGATTTGGGGAGGTGGTCGATTGTTGCGAATTCAGTTAAAGACTTGATTTAACTTTAAGATGAAAAGAATAAAAAATGAACACGTTTTGCCAGAGATTTTGTGGGTGATTTAGCATTTTGTACATAAATTAATTCAAATATAGCTTTTCAGTATTAAATCAAGGAGCAATTTTTGGCTTAAATCAGCTGCTCCCTTTTATGACTAATATTTTGTTCCTTATATTTGATTAATTTATAGAGTTTTTATATTCTTTTTTTTCGAGGAATATGAAACTGCATATATATATATATATATATATAAGTGACAACAACATTACAAAACATCACTTCTTACTACCAAAGCTGCTTTTGCTATATTTTTTAGGCACTTTATAAATACATACATAGTCAAAATATTTACACACAAATCTAATATCCGCCAATATCTAGTGAAGATCACAATTTGTCACACTATCATTAATCGACTGGGGAATTATCTCCTGACTATCGGTTAGCACCGAAATTACTTTTACCCGACTTTGGATACACCATTTTAACGCTTTCAAACATGTCTGAGCTTCTATTACCACCGCTGATGATGCAAAAAAGGACAAATGTCTCTTGACCAACTGATTGCCATTGTGATTCAAACCAATAATTTTCCCAAATTAGTACTTGGCAAGTGGAATTAAGGCAATTTTAAGAGTTCGGATTCTATAAATAGATCGATTGTGAAGTTAAAGTTATCTGCAAAGTAAATATTTTATTAAGTCACTTTGCATTGATAATTTTTATGAAATTTGCTTTATCTTACTCAATTCAAGTGGAGTATCATTATGGAAAAGTGACTGTAATTTATTGTTTAGGAATCATTTTAGTCAATATCGAGACCCAATTAGTGTAGTTTGTTGAAATTGCGTATAATCACTTTTCTAATTAATTTGATGGCATTAATTATATTGTTAAAATAAGTCATATTTTAAATTTTAAAATATCATATATCAGTTAATAAAACAAGAAAGATCACAGCTACCAATATGCCTTATAGAAGGTGGGCTATGGTCCAATGAATACTGGGCAGCAGCCATGATGCTTCTTCAAAATTCGCTCACTTCTCTCATCAAGATTCTAAAATGTTCTTCAAAATGTTTTAAATTATTTATCGCCTTTCAAAAGATAAAATTATATAAAAATAATATTTTTTTTGCTATTTTTTTTACCAATTTATTTTTAATTTTTTTTAAAAAAAATTCCGAAACATGTTTATGAAAACCAAATCAAATATGGCCATTATTTCTATGATAAACTTTTGATTAAAGGTTTTGTTTATTTAGACAAACGCATTCATTTGACTTGATTTTGATTTAAATTTAATTCTGCAAGAATTATTCAATTCTTATTGACATACTTGAATTATTATATTGTCCTTTCAAAAGAAAAATAAGTCAACAATATCATATGCACTTTTTAAAGAATGTCTATACTTCTCTACACATTGATATTCCCTCTCAAACTCAAATAGCTAGACCAACATGAGAAAGGCCATCTTGTGTTTTGAATTTGTATACTTCTCTGTACATTGATATTTCCTCTTAAACTCAAAAAACTAGACCAACATGAGAATGCCCATCTTGTGTTTTGAATGTGTATATATATACATTGATATTCCCTCTCAAACTCAAATAGTTAGACCAACATGAGAATGCCCATCTTGTGTTTTGAATTTGTATACTTCTCTATAATTTGATATATCCTCTCAAACTCAAATACGTAGACCAACATGAGAACACCCATTTTGTGTTTTGAATGGACTAGTTTTGGCTTTAAAACATGTTATAAAGCTACAAAACCACCTTTAAAACATCTTCCACACAAGAAAAACTGTACCATTTTGTTCTATTTTTTCAAGTTTCATGTTGTTGACTATGTTTACAAAGTCATTAACCAAGAAATTATTAGGTAGTTCCACTTTGGGGTGGGGGACAATAACACTTATATTTAATTGGGTTGAAGGATTGCATCATGGCTTAGGTAGAGATTCCACTTTTATTTTGATTGAAAGATTGTGTCATGGTTTAGGTAAGAATAAATTTTAGAATACATAAATTCAATACAAATATAATTTTTTAAAAGTAGACTCACTTAATAATTTATTTATTTTTTTAAATATTGTTCATGAATGTATTTTTTTATATCTAAGGTTTTATTTGTCAATTATATATTTTAGTCAAAAAGTCAACAAGTCAAGTTGTCACATCACTCTCTCTATTTTTTTTACGTATCTTTTTGTAAAAAACTAAAAAATTACTAAAATAGTTTGCTTCGAAACAAGGCCTAATTCTATGTTTAATTTATGTATTAGTAAGAAAAAATATAGTTTATTTGATGAACTTGTTTCATGACCAATTATGATGAGAATATGCATATGTTTTTTATTAGGTAAATTACACTGATACCCTTGAGGTTTCTATTTAATATAGATTCTTCCTCACGTTTGAAAAATTATATTCTTCCTGAGATTTGTAATCTCATTACAAATTGCTCCATAGATTGCTAATGCCCTAAAATTTTATAAATGATTATTTTGTTCTTTTTCCTACCATTTCTTCTTTCTATCATCATGACTACATTCTGTAACTTTTCATCATTAAATTTTACCTGAATATATTCTTATTGAGTGATGATATACAAATATAAAATTTTCAAACACAATAATATAACTTAATGGTGACCATTCACTTTAAAACAAACATCCATAAACATGATTTATATTTACAACAATATCACTATCACAACATTTTTATGATATTTTTTGTATAATTTTTTATATATGAATAGAATTTTTCATTTTTATTCCCACCATCATTTTTCTTTCTCGTCTATTCACCCACATTTATTACAGTATTACCAACTACCGTTATTCACATTTATTATAGTGTTACTAAATTTATGTATTTTTTTTGTATTTGGTGAATTTTAAAAAAAATACAAAGAAGATGATTGTTATTTCTATTGAAATGACATAAATAAAATATCAGCATTATTTTATATGTATAAAGGTTAAAAGACAAATATGTCATTTTAATTTGACAGGGAAGTAAATGTAATTTTTCAAACGTGAGGGGGGGATCTATAATAAATAGAAACCTCAGGGGGTGTCACTGTAATTTACATTTTTTTTATTCATATAATATTCTATTCTAGGGACATATTATTGAAAATTGTATTAGTCCTTAAACTGTTGTATTAGTTTTTGTAGGGCTTCTTGTTCTATTGCTAGTTGTCTATCAATTTGTGTGATTTTTAAACTATAGTGTGCTAGATATCTACCTGTAGCTAATGATAACAGAAATTGATATCTTTGTTTCAGATCTTCTAACTCTTGTATAAATTCAGTATTGGCTCTAATTTTACTGCTAAGTTTTTCTTCTAGAAACA